GATATCAAAAAAGTACTCCAGAGTGTTGTTCAGCATGGGGGTGAGTAGAAAATGAAGGCTAATCATGTTTTGGGTGTACTATTCCTTTAAATGGATTTCTCAGGAGCACATTGGTATGTAGCAGTAAAAGAAGCTGAAATAAGAAAGAAATACACACTGCTCAAAAAATAAAGGGAACACTCTAATAACACATCCTAGATCCTAATAAATGAAATATTCTCATTGAATAATTTCTTCTGCACAAAGTTGAATGTACAGACAATAAAATAACAGAAAAACCATCAATGGTAGTCAAATGTATTAACCAATAGATGTTTGGATTTAAGAGTCACACACAAAATTAAAGTGGAAAAACACACTACAAGCTGATCCAACTTTGATGTAATGTCCTTAAACAGGTCAAAATGAGGCTGAGTATTGTGACTTGCCAAATATCAGCTGTGCTGCTGCCATCGACATCTCTGTTTATAGATATTTTCGCTTGGCCTGTTTTCAGCGTAGTCATGTTTCTTTTACTGCGACTATCAGACTTGGCTCGGAGCCGCCTGCCTTGCTGCATCTTTCCCAGAGGGGGGCCACCTGCAGAGCTAGTTAACAGTTACCTTTTGTGTCTCTGTTTCTTTCTGTCTGCCTCTATCTCCTTGAACCCCGGCAGATGGTCTCTCACTCTGAGCCAGGGTCTGCTGGAGCTTTCTTCCTGTTAAAACTAAGTTTTCCTCTCCACTCCAGCTACATGCATGCTTGATATGAGGGATGGCTAAAGAGTCAGCAACAAAATGCAAGCAATGGTCAGCATTGCAGGCTCATTCAGGAGGAGCATCTCTTGCAAGTCAATGACTGGATGCAATCAACTGGTTTTCCTAACCAATCTGACAGTATTGTCTTTGTAAAGGTTTTAACATAATGTGTTGTGAATTGGAGCTATATAAATGAACCTAATTGAAATTAAATCTCCTCCCACACCTGGACTTAACCATACCCCGACTCCTGGACAGTCTTATGGTGCAACATTACGTTTGTGGATGAATTGAGACATCATGTCCCAGATTTGCTCAATCGGATTCATGTATGTGGAATGGGCAGGCCAGTCCAAAGCTTTGTTCTCTTCGTCGTGCAGGAACTGCTGACACTTCAGCCACATGAGGTCTAGCGCTGTCCTGCATTAGGAGGAATCCAGGGCCAACTGCACCAGCATATGGTCTCTCAAGGGATCTGAGGATCTCCTCTTGGCACCTATGGCAGCCATGCCACCTCTCAGGAGCACATGGAGGGCTGTGCAGCCCTGCAAAGAAACGCCACCCCACACAATTACTGACCCACTACCAAACTAGTAAGGCTGAAGGATGTTGCAAGCAGCAGATCGCTCTCCATGGTGTCTCCAGGGTCTGTCAGATCTGTTGCATATGCTCAGTGTAAACCTGCTCACATCTGTGAAGAGCACAGGGTGCCAGCGGGGAATTTCACAGTCCTGGTTTTCTCGGGAGAATGCCATTCATACCGCGTGGTGTTGGGCTGTTATCACAACCCCCATGTGTGGACGTTGGGCCCTATTACAATCCTCATGGAGTCAAATTCTAACCCTTTGTGCAGACAAATGCTAATTTGTGGCCTACCTGGATGCCATTTTGCAGGGCTCTGGCAGTGCTCCACCTGCTCCTCCTTGCACAAAGGCAGTGGTAGTTGTCCTGCTGCTAGGTTGTTGGCCTCCTAGAGGGTCCTCCACATCTCCTGGTAGCGCCTCCAGCCTCTGAAGACTACGTTGATAGACACAGCAAACCTTCTTGCCACAGCTCGCCTTGATGTGCAATCCTGGATGAGGTGCACTACCTCAGCTGCTTGTGGGCTTTGTAGAGTCTGTGTCATGCTACCACAAGTGTGAAAGCACCACCAACATTTAAATGTGACCAAAACATCTGCCAGAAAGCATGGATACTGAGAAGTGGTCTGTGGTCCCCATATGCAGAATCACTCCACTTATTGAGTGTTTCTTGCTAATTGACAATAATGTGTACCTGTTGTACATTCCATTTGCACAACAGCATGTGTAATTACTTGTCAATCTGTCTTGCTTTCTAAGTGGACAGTTTCACAGAAGTTTGACTTAATTGGAGTTGTGTTGTTTCCATGTTCCCTTTATTTATTTTTAGCAGTGTTCTATAATGCTTCTTATCAGGATGGGGTAAAAGCTATATTTGCTGTGAAATAAAATGGAGGCTTAGGTCATGTAACAACACCTCAAGCTTTGAACATCTCACATGGCAGTTTAATCCACCATCTCAAAATGGAAAGTGTATAACATGACTGTAAACCTACCAAAACGTGGCTGTCTGCCTAAACTTAGATGCCAAGCAAGGAGAGCATGAATCGTTTGCAGCCAAGATGCCCATGGTAATTTAAGAGGAGCAGCAGAGATATAGTGCTTACCAATCTATTAAATGCAAAAACAAAACAAAAAAAAAACTTTTAAAGAGGGGTAAGAGGAAAATGTCTAGTTAAAACAGAACCAGAATAAGCCAGATCTGGTGATTGGAAACCAAACGGAAATTTTAGGCCTGGGAAACTGTAACGAGCACACCATCGCCACTGTGACAAATGCAGGTGGCACCAACTTCTTTCTGTGGGAAAGTTTTTCTTGAGAATAGGAAAATTTGTGGAAGTTGACGAAAAGATGAATGGAGCAGATCACAGAAGCTGTGAAAGATTTGTGCCTGGAGCAGAGGTTTGGTTTCCAGTAAAATAATAACCTGAAACTTGGAGCCAAAGATCCAATGAAACATTGTAAATCAGTGTGTAGTAATGTCCTTCAATAGCCAAGTAAAATCCAGACCTACATCCAACTTTTTATTTCCTTTACATCCAATTTTGGTGATGTTTGGAAGAAAGTGACTTAAGGCTCCAAATTATTTATTTTTCAAATATACTGAAACTATATACCATTTTCTCTCAATAACTATGCGCTGTTTTGTGTTTCTTGATCACATACAGTTTTAGTGAAATGCATATAGTTTTCTGGTTTAAAAGTGACTAAATGTTTAAAAGTGTACCATTGTCTTTTTAAGAGTCAAACCTTTTGAATGTAAGAAAATCCAGATCCTTCAGCCTTACAAGTTTGGTAGTGGGTCAAATCCAGATCATTTATTTTTAAAATGTTGTGTATTCTTTTATGAGAATGCAAAATGTTTAAAGTATGTAAGAAACTGGTCTGAAAAGGTAAACGCCTCTAATATCCAACCTTGTGCTTGTTCTTTGTGGTTTCAGTGGACGACAGTGCCATCTTAGACTGCCAGTTTAGTGATTTCTATCACACTCCACCACAAGGATTTGAGAAGATCCTCTTTGAACAGCAGATCTTCTAAATGAGCGCCTCTCTGTATTGCCGTCGCCCTCTAAATCCTTCAGCACCGTCTGTGACACTACAGTTTGACCTTGATTGGGTTTTATTTTGATGTGTAACTTACATGTATCTCATGTCCTGTTGTTTACCTTGCCTTTTTTTTTCTTTGCTGCTTTGAATCGTTATGTATTGAATAAGTTGGGATGTCTGATTAAGGCTCATCTGTTGTGAGCTGCTCTGGTCTGTGCAGATAGAACAGTGTAAAACATTTACCCTGTCTCAGTGGTATTCATGATGTGTAAACTGAACAACTTTCACTTGCTGCTTACTCCCAGTGTGTAGTTACCGGACAATTGTTGTAATAGTAAAATGTTCCCAGTTTCAGGATCAGAAGCCATGTTTTAAACCGCTCTATACTTATCTTTCACAATTTTTACCATTCTAAAGGCTTTACGGATGTCTCAGAAGGCATCACATATTTATTTGTATTTATTTTACAAAAACATTCTATCACAAATCGTGTAGCTTTAGCTGCAAGAGAAGAAGATTTTTTTTGTTTTAAGCATAGGGATGTCTTCATAACATGGTTTGGATTTTGGTTGAGACAGTGATGGTTAAAAAAAACAACCTGACACCAGGGAGACGGTTAATTTTCCAGGTGGCATCCAGCATCTGGTTATCTGTTTGTTTTGGAAATGGAGTTTCATAGGGGTATTTTTTATTTTTTTTAAATCAATTTTCTTGATAATCATTTACTCTCTCCGATCAAACAACATCACTGGAGCTGGACGTCTCTGGTTAGAGATACATATAAAAATATATCATTAAGTTTTTTGTACTGGCAAAGCATAGCTGCTGCTGATGTGTGACCGTCAAATATTTCAAATGCTTGTCTTTGCACTAATGACACTGTACAAATCCAGATTTTGATTTATTGAACTTGTGTTTTTGGAGATGACTTTTTGACTCCTGTGTTTATTGAAAGGTTTTTATAAAGTTATAAGTGGTGAATAGCTATGTTATGAAGCTTGTAAAACAGATCATTCATATATATATACAGAGTATATGATTTTAATAAACGGTTTTCTTTAAAATTGATGAAAAGAAGAGAAAGGAACTTGAACATCTCTTTTCACTGTATAAATAGACAAAGGAACATGTATAAAACAGGCCTTTCAATTCTAAAAGGTAAGTTTGACACAAAAACATACCTAAACATTAGCAAAAGGTTAGCAAATCCACACTGAAACTAGGCCATGGCAGTATCATGATGGGGGATCACTAAATTATGAGGGAAAGGAAAGTGATCAGTTCCAGACTCCAGTCATTTTGTCTGATTAAAAAAAGCAGAGGCCAAAGATCCCTCATTCAAGCAGCTGTTAGGCTCTATAACCATCACTACTCCCAATAAACTGACAAGTTGATCACTTAAACCTTGCTTTTTTTGCAAGTTCTCCCTCCCACTTAGTAACTATGGAGGAGTCTGAAATTGTCCTCGTAGGTGCATGTCCACAGTGAGAGACAATCTAAAAAAGTATCCAGAAATTACGATGTTTTATTTTTATTACTATTTATTGGTATGATACAGCTGCAAATAAGTATTTGAACACCCAAGAAATCAATGTTAACAATTGGTACAGTAGTCTTTGCAATTACAGAGTTCAAACATTTCCTGTAGATTTTCACCAGGTTTGCACACACTGTAGGAGGGATTTTGGCCCACTCCTCCACACAGATCCTCTCCAGATCAGTCAGGTTTCTGGGCTGTCGAGAGTGTAAGCTCCCTCCACAGATTCTCTACTGGGTTTAGGTCTGGAGACTGGCCACGCCAGAAACTTGATATGATTCTTCCAGAGCCACTCCTTGGTAATCCTGGCTGTGTGCTTCTGGTAGTTGTCATGTTGGAAGACCCAGCCTCGACCCATCTTTCATGCTCTAACTCAGAGAAG